AGGATCGTTTATGTCCTTTATTGTCCCTTTGCTATATAAATGGTATTCAGTGGTGCAATCAATAAACTGATTTTAATCGTATCATTTCAGATATGACACAAACAAACTTTACGAAGCGCTTCAACAGATGATTGGTTATATATGAATATTGCAATGGATACTTGCAAAATTGAGCAATTTCTGAATGAAAAGTTGGATTCCACCGAAGGGTGTGAGGATCAGAAATACTATTATCATTTCAAGTTAGGGCTGGATTCATATTCCTCTAATCAACATGAAGATGCTTTGGAACACTTTGGGAAAAGCTTAAGTATAGCACATGGGTTAGAAGATCGAACTCTACTAGAGTTTTTTGCATATTATGGAATGGGATACTCTTACGCATTGCCTAGGCGCTATGGGCAAACCATCGATTGCTTTTATAAATGTTTGGACCTTTCGAAACTTTTGGAAAGCAGTAGTCGTGGTGGAAGATGTTTTGCTGCTTTTGCGTATATTGCATTAGGTGATGGCGAATTGTTTCTTGGGCGTTCCAAAACGGCATTAAAGTTTTATAAAGATGGATTAGATCTTGCTGCGCAAATGCATGATAAAGAACGCGAGTTGATTGGATATCTAAAGTTAGGAGATGTATACAAGATTGTTTCGCAATATGCCGAAGCGTTGGAGCATTATAAAAAATGTTTGGAAAAATCTGAAGAAAAACCCAACAATCCGATTGTTTTACAAACACGTTTGCAAGCCTTACAGGGCTTGGCTGATGTGTACAAGGTGACAGGGCAGTACAACAAAGGACTCAAACATTATGAGGAATGTTTGGAAATTTTGTCGTCATTAAAGGACGACGAAGATAAATTGAAGCTTCAAGAATCATTAATCTACGCAGCGAAGGGATATTTATTGTGGCATGTTGGCCAGTCTACTAGAGCATTCGAATGTTATGATAAGTGTTTAAAATTGGGTTTGGCACTACATAATAGATCTATCGAATTTCATGCATATCTAGGTTTAGGGTACCTTTTCTTCTTGACTGGAAAGTGTTTTGAAGCAGTCACGAGTTTCGAGAAATGTCTCGAAATTGCGTTGGGAATGAGCGATAAACATCTCGAGGCAACTTCAAAAATAGGACTTGGAGATGTATACATGTTAACTGGAGATAATTCGAAAGCAATAGAATATTATGAACAATCGTTGGAGATTGCAGACGAATCAGAATTGCGCGACACCAAAACACCAGCCCATTTGGGATTAGGAAATGCATGCACCGTGGCTGGTAAATATTGCGAAGGATTACAGCATTTGGAGAAATGTTTGAAGCTTTCTGCAGAAGTTGGAGATCGGTATCATGAGTGCCAAGCGTATCTTGGGTTGGGAGATGTTGATATTTTTGAAGGAAAGTACGAGGCGGCGGTAGCAAACTTTGAAAAAGGGTTGGATATTGCCGTTCAAATTACCGAACGAAATTGCGAGTCTAGGGCAAGGAGAAGTTTAGCTGACGCGCACGTGTTAATTTCACCGGACGAAGACGTAGCAGAGCAGTACCAGACAGCTTTGAATATTGCTGAAGAAATTGGCAATGCATACGAGAAATCGCGCTCTCATCTTGGATTAGGAAAATTACATAAATCAATTGGAAAGTATAAAGAAGCATTGGAACACTATGAAAAAGGATTTTCGTTTGCTGCGGGAATGAGTGGTAGAAATTTACAGAATCCTGCAGACCATATGGGCGCAGACCAAGTTGGCATTAATGAAAATTTCTCAATCTATTACATGAAGGGACTGCCATTTGCGCATCTGTTAGGAAACAGATTTGGAGCGTTAGCAGGGTATTGGGAATTAGGAGATTTATACAATAAATTGAAAAAGTATCAAAAAGCGTTGGAGCTTTTTGAAAGGTATCTTGCAATTTCCGAAGAGACCACTGATTTGAATGAGCAAGAAAGAGCATGTGAGCGTTTGGTAGACATATACAAACAACAACGTCGATACTACATGGTGAAGCAATTCCAACAGAAACTACAGGTGATTGCTAAAGAACGAGAAAAAGCTAACTGTGGTATGTATGCAATGCGGAATTTTGCGTGTGACTTTATCAATTCACTCAACTGCGTCGCATTAGACTTCTCAAAATTTGCTTCATTTTCGTTTATGGATGTTGGTAGCATAATAGTTTTTGCGTATACTCTTTACCTCTTCATTTGGAGTTTTAATCCTTTTAATGTAATTCTCTGATCGATCATAATTTCGGTCGCATGCGAGAAGAGTTCTTCCACCAAAACCCCAGGGTTTCCTCAGGGCGTTCTTCCTCCTGCTGCGAAACTAAACACTAGTAACCAGCAAGAGATAAATTTGTTAGATTTCTAGCCCTCACGAAATTGAATAGTTTAGAACCATCAGAATATGCCAGCCCAAATTAGACTGTCCTTAATCTTAACGAGGGGAAGTGGTTAGATGTAGTCAGCAAAGTATTAGTGGATTTTGGGCATTCGCCCGCTTCGGTCTTCCCATTAGCTGTATTTCCCATTAGCTGCATGTATCCCGCTCCGCGTTGTATTTCGAATCAACGGAAGTTAAGCTTACTGATCCATTCCCTGACCTAGCGGGATGAAGTCGTTCGTCTACAACATTAACGTCAATTGATTATTTATGAACATTTTGTCCGACGAATAAGTTGTTTTTGAAAAATCGTCTTAAAAGCTCGTTGACAATCTCGTTTCACGCTACAAGACTTGTTTGACCTAAGCGCTCTGTTTGTCTTCAAGTAGAAAAACGCTATTAAAATGGCAATGATGTGTACAAATGCAGGATTGTACTTGCAGTGCACGTTTGCGCGCTTTATATGGCACTATCTGTACTAATTGAACCATCCATACTACTTTTTAGAAAGCCCAGAATTGTGGAAATGGAAAGAGTGTTCAAAAATTCATCGAGACAAGTTCGAAAAGTTGCTCAAATATGGACAAGAACATTCGGATGAGGTCAAGGACGTCAGTGGAGTACGCGTTTGTTGCTCGAAGGAATTTCTTATCGGTAAAGGAGGTGAAGGCACTCGAGTTTATGTAGGATTAGGGAAAGATGGGTACGAGAAGGCGGTAAAACGTTTGCCAAGGGATGCTTGCGCTTGTTTAGCTGAACAAGAAAAGCAAGCTTTGAACGAACTTAACACAACCCAGTCAAACTATGTGGTAAATTATTGGTTTTTAGACGATAAATGCGATAAGGAATACTTATTTTTGATCTTGGATTTATGCGAGGAAACGTTGGAAGAATTTGTTCGCGATAGCAGTTTGGACGATCTGATAACAATCGCACCAGATATCATTCAGCAAGTTTTGAAAGGATTGGCTGATCTCCATCGCGATCCGAAGCCCATTTTACATCGTGACCTGAAACCATCCAACATCTTGCGAAATGTCCATGGTAAATGGTTGCTGGCAGATTTTGGAATCAGTCGAATCTTGACGGGGGGTGCAAGTACCCATCTAAGCGAGCAGAGGGGATCAAGACATTGGAGAGCTGTTGAATCATATCCTTCGGATGCCATGACTGCTGATGGCAAAGTGCGTTATAAGAAAGAATCCGATATTCAGGTAGGTCTTTGTTCGGATAAGAAATTTAACTTCAACCAAATTCAATCATGGCCGGATTTTGAGGGGAGGTGTGGGGAGGTGCGCACCTCCCTTGAGATGGTTTTGCACCCCCCGCCCCCCATGAGAATTTTTGGACCTTCCCTGAAAAGTCATGCACCTCCCCTTGGGAAAATTTCATAGATAGATCAAAGTGAAAATTTGGCATTTTTTTGTTGCTTATTACGGTCCACACTTCGTAAAAACGTTTTTCTGTAAAATCGAAACCGTGATAGCCATTCATCTGTGTGTCAAGTACTTTTTTGATGCAATGTTTTGAAAGAAACTTTGTAGTAATTTTAGTGGAGGGCAAAATTGGATGAGTTGTACAGTCAGAATTAATTAATACACTGATACATATGTAAATGTACACTACATGCATACGTCACGTCGTTGACTTTCGCCCGTTCTAAGCGCTAAATTTCTATGGGGGTCGTGAGCTAGACTGCTGCACCTCCCCTAAATATATTTCCACCTCTCCCATTAAATCCGGCCTAAATTTAATGGTAACGTTTTCGACACGCGGAAATCTAGTCCAGTCCGAATAGTCGGATTTGAAATATTTCATAACATCCTGTTAGAGGCTCAGATTCAACTAATTAATCCCCTTTATTTCACTCAGGTGGCTGGAATGGTGGCATTCTACATTGTAACTGAAGGTAAACATCCCTTTGGAGAAGAACCAGACCGACTTCGCAACTTACTTGATGGTAACCCAGTTGGCTTAGATACGCTGAAGGATCCTGTCTTAAAAGATTTGTTATCCTGGATGCTGAGTCACGATCCCAAAGATAGACCGTTGGCTGATGAGGCGCTAAAACACCCTTATCTTCAGCCAGCGGAACAGCTGTTTGAAATGTTGTGCAAAATGGGAAACCAGCATGAAGTAAAGTCAGCGGATGTCAATTCAGATATCGTGCGAAAGTTGAATAGCGATCCCAAAGATTGGAGATCTCTGATGAGTGCCGATGTTCTAAAGTACTTTTGCACGGATTATATGAACGGAAAACCAAAAACATTTCATTATGGGTCGCCATGGACCGAGTGTTTACGATTTATACGGAATGTTAACCAACACTGGTATGACCGAAAACGTCCTATGCCGCAACCCGAAGCATTTTATGTAGTGGGCAATCCGCGAGAGTACTTCCTTAGCCTGTTTCCCAATCTTCCTGTTGAGGTACACAGGATTGTTAGGTCGTCCGACTGGAAAGAACGACCGGAGCTTAAGAAGTACTTCATCTGCAGTGCGCGTGATTCACACGTGTGAAATCGTTCGATTCCCGGCCGTGGCTAGTAGAATGTTCTGCTTGCCCGGATCATACTCGTAGGGAGAATTAAACACCTGCACATTTTCGTCACACGAGTAGAATCTCAGGAGAGGAGAAAGATCATACACGTACTATATATAAAGCACGCGTAGGAGTGTTTTATCATATTTTAAATGCGAGTGCGCAGCACAAGCATTTTAGATATGATAAGACACGACTACATGTGTTTCTGATCTCTTTGAATATCCTCTTCAAGAGTGCAACTGGTCAACGGTTTACAGATACATGCACATATAAAGTGAAAAAGACGGAACTTAGTTATGTCATTGAAATATATATGCATGTATCTGTAATGTTACAATAACCCTGACGTCAATTATAGAAATCAAAATGTTATTCGGAGTTACTGTTATTTTGTATTTTATCAAAATACTGAGTGGTTTCCGTAATTATTCCAGAGAACACTACTGTAGTTTATCAGTTAATATTTTCAAACGTAAATTACGTAAATATCCTTTTAGAAAATCATACATAGTAATATTTAATAGCCTTTGACAATTTTTTAATCATATTAATTAATTAATTAATTAGTTAGAATTTTAAGTTTTTATGAATTTTATGTTAATTTTCCGTAAATGCTAATTGGCTCCGAAAAGCATAAACTTGATGTTCAATTTTCTTACCAAATCTCACTTATTTTAAATTGAAGACACTAGCCATTTACAACATTCACGTCCGTGTTGTATCGACATACAAAATCTAAAAATAGAAATATTTGACAGAAACTGAGAAGATCTAGGCCAATATAGTTCAGTGGTCTAGCCTGCAGCCCGCCATTTATTAAAATATATTCAAGTGGCTATTCATAGATAATTGGTACCAACCCTTGACAGGACTTATCTCCGGCGCGCAATTTGATGCTTTCTATATATTTAAATCTCCGGTCCGGAGCGCAATTTCCAAACTTTCCAGTCAGGGTCAGGAACATGGTACCATATGTAGTACATTATTTTTCGAAAAGCGTGGTCTTACAGAGAACAATACTTTAATCAGTATGCGGAAGTATTATTCTCCTGTGAGCCACAAGAAGGCCAATATATCATATTACATAAACTGTTTGCATCGGTAATGTCAAAAACATCCCGTATCAGCGCTGCTACGAGTTACAACGCAAAATCTGATATATGCGTCTGAAAAATTTTCATACCATGCTTTCTTTAAAGATATTTGTATTATTTGGAGTTGTCTTTGTTCCCGCCATCATCCAAGGTAAGCCGCATTGTTGTAGTGTTTTAAAACACCAAGCTATAAACATCCTTTTCAGACAGCTCTGCGTGCGCTAATGACGCAAATATACAGTATATTATCCTGACGCGCGGTATTAACGCGCTATATATTTCGGGCATGTCTTGATGTTTTGTTATCTTAATCTGATCAAAATAATATACAACTGTTTCAACTTAAACTGTGCTATCAAAAGTAGCATATATATCATGAAAGTATACCATGTATATACAAACTGTGATGATTGTAAATTACTTCATGCGATATTGCGATTGAGGAATAAGTGGGTCAAATATGTGTGATTTCATATAGCTACTTTGATGCATTTGATAGCTTTATTTTTAAAACGCGAAACGTGATGTATTTTCATAACATTTTAAAGCCTGATTTTCAAACAAGGAAACATTTACAAGGGACAAAAGTTTAATGCTGAGGCAAAATTTTCCTTTGAAGGTCACTAGGTCAAGGCCGCTTTGACGACAATTAAGGGGAAAGGGGAAGCAAGGGTTCACCAACCTCTTGTACTTCAAAAGAACCCTTTAGATACTTTCAGAACGGTGCTTGGAAAAACATTTGATATAGACATTGCACTTTTTGCTTTGTATTGTTTTATGTTGTAATGTTATACAGTACCCTGAATGGAATTTCATCATGTCCCGTTCGTTCTCTATTTTGACCGTTTTGGTCTTCTGCTTTTCGTATTGTAAGTATATTGTCTGTCTTGTGCTTGATTTTGACATTGTCTGTTTATGTTACTGTAGAATTCTCAATAAAAATGTTAAAAATAGAAAAGGACAATGAGAAGGAAACTTATATGCATACTTTGCCCACCCCCAGTTCCCGCCTAACGTCCCTGTTAAGGGTTCATTTCTAATTCTTACAATTCATGTTCTGACACTAATGCTCAAGTTTAAATCTATACAGTAATGCTTAGGTGCTCCTGGTTAGATGCCCAAAAAATCCTGATACTATTTTACCCATATACATGAACTTCAAGTTAGAGCTTGACAACTGGCCTTTGCAACTCAGTTGGTTAGAGCCCAGCCCTGGAATCGCAGGGCGCCGCAAGCTCGTTCTCTGCCAGAGGGCCTAACTCCCTCGACATTCCTTCAACCCAGTGCGATGCCCAATTTTGACAGGCATACCACAGTAAGTTTCACCGTAATCTAAACCCCAATGCACGCGTAAGCGAAACTAACGCACCAGGGGCGGGTTGTCAGTCGAACGTCGATTAGCTTAACCCTGGGTTAACCTAAAAGAGGGCCCTGAAGGGGTAAAATGGGAACTGGGATTGATATATTTTTAGACTGGGAAAATGGGATTTGGGTTGCTGGGACTGGGATTTGGCCACTGGGAATGGGAAATGAAATCCTCAAAAATGGGAATGGGATTGAGGTAATGCGAGTCGATTCCCAATTTTTCTGTGTTTTGAGTATTTTAAAATACAATTTTGATCCGTTTTTGGTGTCTTTGGTCATGATTTTTGTTGTTAACTATATTATTCACAGCACTACCTGCGAACAGGCATACTCTGGCGCCCGGAATTCTGGGTTTTCTGATTATGCGTGTCTCAGAATGCTGCAAATGCCATTTCCGGGATTCAAATTTAAAAATTTTCCCTGCCTTCGGCACAACCCTCCCCCAAATTTCATAAAGTGTGTACCACTTGCACACACAATGGCTTAAAAGTCTTAAAACTGTTTATTGTACTGATAAATAAAGGGTTTTTTATTGACTGGGATTTCAATAACTCGGACTGGGATTTCTAATAAAAATCCAACTGGGACTGGGATTTTGCCAAAATTTCAGGTGGGAAATGGGATTGGGACCCCCCCCCTTCAGGACCCTCCTAAAATTCAAAGCAAACTTCCTAACAAGTGAGTTATAAATTTGGGAACATTTCTTTGCAAATCTTGTCTGGATCAATATAGGAGTTTTCGTCTCTGAAGTTTTGAAATGGAACAGACGTGCAGAAATACATAAACTAAAACAGCAGGTTAAATTTTAACCCTGGGTTAAGCCGGTTACAGACGAGCAAGTTTTCTATGACAAGTTTTTATGTGTCTGACAAGTTTTATTTGCTCGTCTGTACGCGCAACTTTGACAATTTTTTCTATGACAAGTATAGCATGGGTGGCCGTTACCACCAAAAATACTACAAGTGTGAAATGAATGGACATAAACAGAAATGATTCATTATAAACACAAATGATTCATTGTGTTTAGAAATGATTGAACATAACGTAGTAACGTGACTGGAGAAGATGAGAAATAATTCATCTAAACTTGAAATGATTCATTTGGCAGTGTCAGTCTCATTCGATTAGTGTTGTCTTAATTCATAAACACATTAGGGCCATTTATACGCGGGACAAAATAAGACGCGACTTACATAAGACGCGACTTAAATAAGACGCGAGTTTGCCGTATAAAAGGTATAAAATTCTTATGTAAGACCTGTGTAAGACGCGTCTTGGATAAGACGCGTCTTACATAAGAACAGGACGTTTAGCTGTTCTTATTTAAGTCGTGTCTTAAAAAAGAAATTTTGGACAAAAATTTTAACTACACATGCCCGAAACTTGAAACAACGTAAAATTATTAGCCTTGCATATTAAAACAAAAACAACCGAAACAACATTATAGCTATAGCAAGTAAATAAGAACAAAGTCGTAGAGAACCATTTATGCGATAACTCCGCTTATATAAGACGCGTCTTATGTAAGTCGCGACTTATTTTGTCTCGTTTAAATGGCCCTAATGTGAAATGGCTCAACATGTACTTGTCATAGAAAAAATTGTCAAAGTACAAATTTTGTTCGTCTGTATGGGTCAACAAAGAAAACTTGTCAAAGTAATCTAAACATTTGATGTGATTGGCCAGCTGGCTGCTAATAAATTGTCAAAGTAAACTTGTTGACACGTTCACACCAGTAAATAAAACTTGGCATATGAAAACTTGTTGCTGCCGCAGCGAGCGAGCCTGAAGCGAGCGAGCAAGGCAGCAGATCCTAATTTTGTTTTGTGGGTCGAAATCAAAATTTTCTATTTGGCGCATTGCATGACGGTACCAGTGAATTTTAACCGTGGTGCAGCGCGGTCAGGCATAAGGCGATGTGATCATCTTTCATCTTTGGTCTTCTTTTATGGAAAGCCATAGCTGACTTAGAGTGATCAAACGGCATTTTGTTGGGTGCTTTTAGCATTATACGGCGTTGCTTTCGGCATTATACAAGGTGCTTTCGCCAACCTCGTTCCCAGGGCTTTTCCCTTTTTGTCATTGGGAAGGCGGGAAAAGGCCCTGGCACCGGCCGGTCTTCTATGTATTCTGATTGGTCAATGACAAGACATTATTATGCAAATAATGCAATCTTGGATCATTTATTCAAACTTTGGGATAAATTAATATTTCATGCAAGGAGTGATCATTTTAATACTTTGTCCGTCTAAGAAATATTTTTGGCAAAATCTGTGGCAAAATGGTTAAATTCGATAAGATTTATACACAATTTGTCGAAGGTTAGTATTATTGTTTGTTTTAAACTGTGAGAGAAGATTAATTGTACAGAACACACCTCTGAGGCTCTGACCGAGTATTTAGGGCAAAATGTGCCTTCATATTTGGCTTCGTATAGCGTTTAATACCGTTTATAATGTTTATATTTATAAAACCAAAGTCTGGGTTTATAAACTGAAACACGACCTTTAGTTTTTGATATTCTTCATAGTCGAGTTTAAATTGGCCTAATTTATAGTTAGTTGCCACTGGAAATGCGACGATATTTTGTTATCATATATGCAACAGTGTTTACAACTTTTGAATAATATGTGATTTGGTTTTGTTTCAGATACTATTACATGTTGCTTCATTTTACCGTAAATTGTGTTAAAAAAATGATTTGCTCATTTGGCAGATTTTATAGTTTTCTGATGTGTTTTGTTTGGATGATATTAGAACAATTTCAATATGAAAGTGCAGGTGTCTTTCGACATGAGCCATAATGTATGTATCAAAATACTGATAAAATCCGTTTCCAGCTTGATTGTATTTGCATTTGTTGTATTTGCATTGTTGCAGACAAAGTTGTGCAATGGTGGGCTTATGTCACATACTCGTATGTAATTCCATGTGCCTGCATGTACAGTACTTTGATGCCTCAAGAGATGCTTCAAATGTGTAATAAAGGGCTGTTCGCAGGAGTTGGGCTGTCTGGCCTTAAATTGCATTGTTTTTATGATATTTTAAGATTGTATTCATGTGGCTGAACCATCTTGCCATTGCCACAATGTCTGATGTTCAAACAGGCTTTAAAATCAGGTTACAATGCATGCTTGAAAATATGCAACAATTTCACTGCTAATAATATTCCAGAAAATCCTGCCTCTTGGGCAGATCTGGACTGATTTGTCAGAGGGAGTTGGAGGTTTTCTACTTGCGATCGGGCAAGGGGAGCTAAGCCAAGGGTGCTGGGTCAGAGTCAAACTCATGTGAACAGCTTCTAAGTCCTAATTATATTGATAAATTATGTACACTTTGGGATGGTAATGCAATTTGTAAAATATTCCACATTTTATTTAATAAAATTTAATTATATACATTGTTTTTGTTGTTTATATTAACACCTTGGACAGTGTATATTTACACCTTTGGACCCTGTAAATAAGCACCTTTGGAGGGTGTACCCATTCTAAGCCAAAGACGTGTAAGAACAATTATCAAGGTATTTGCATGATAAAATATATTTAAAACTGCTCTCCATATACATGTAATGCATGGTTCAATTCTTGCTTTTACCACGTAAACCCAGGGATTTTCAATGTCCTCCTCCTCCCGTAGAGTTCACTTGAAGTGACTGGGGCAAGGTAGCTATAAGTATAAGTATAAGTAGTTATATTAATTTAATTAAAGTCAATTAAAATTTACAAATTGAGCTTTTTGAATATAGAGCATTGCAAAATTTTTAAAAATTTGTTTAACTTAACCCTTTATAGTGGCAATGTCCCTACTTTAGTATATTATTCCGTCTGGTGCCAGACAGTTTTACTCAAGGGCAGAATGTATACTTGCCACAAGTCGACCTCGAACGAAACGTTGGCTCACACTCGCTGCTTGCGTTTCGTTTGAGGTCGACTTGTGGCAAGTCTAGGCAGAATGCTGCCACTCAATGAGTTAATATATTCTCAGAACAATTACCATCAAATTTAATCTATTTTGCTGGCAAAATTAGCTTGGAGGGGGTCCTTGATTTGTTGAGTTTTTCTTTTTTTTTTTGGGAGGGGGGTGAGTGTTGTAAAAAACAGAATAGCAACTGGTTTCAGAATAGGAAGAATTGTTGTAATATACAGTAGGTAATATAATTCTAAGACAAATCATCCAAAGGAAGCAATCATTCTAGCTCTTGTAGTGTATGTTGCAACAGGGATGGATTTACTGCGGGGGGGGGGAGGGGGGCTGTGCACTCTCCTAGCCCTGGCCAGAGTGGGTGCAGGGGGTTATATTTTTCATGATAAAGCAAAAAATTATTACAGGCAAAATGAGATACAGTAATTTGAGTAATAACATGATGATAAGCGAGCTGTGAACAACAATTAGAATTCAAATACAGTAGTAAAGCAAGACTTTGCAGTAGTGAAGCAAGTTGATGGGCGGGCGGCACACATGACCAACACAACTCGGCACCAGAGCTGGCAGAGCACCCCCCCCCCCCTACCAGATCATGCTGGATCCATCCCTGTGTTGCAAAATGTATTTTCTTCATAGTCAGGCATTCACATGAATGAAGATTAGAATTTTATGTTATATAGTCTTAAATATTTAGGAGGGGTCTCCATTATTAAATTAAGAGATTAAAAAGGGATCCCATGACATTTTGACATAAGAATCTCCCACCCCACCCTAGGGTATAATGAATGGTCACTTAAAGTACATGCCATCTTCTCACTGGTTGGGCACCTTGCCCCTTTTGTGATGGAAAATCTATTCCCTACCTTTATCCCCTGGGACAAAAAATTCAAATCAACTCTCCACCCTGATAATGTGCAGATGGTAACAGCAAGAATTGAAGCATGCGTGAAGCAAGCTTTACTGGAGACTGGAGTACATACTATTATTAGGAAGCATCAATTCTCACATCCTAATTTGCCAGTCATGATTTTAAATGGAATATTTCTTATCTCGTATAGAATTCTTAAGGTCTTGTTTACATTTTACTGGAAGCAAACTAAGATGCATATATCCAATATTTGGGTCATATCACTCATATGGCAGTTTTGCAGCTTGCCAGCTTCAACATTTGGCTGCAAGGAAAACGTAAACAAGGAAAGAGCATATAGCACTCATCTGTGTTTAAAATATCAATGAATAAATATTCCAACCATTGGCACTTTATAATATAAGTGACATTCAACAATAGATCAATAACATATACAGTATATGCAAAAACATTTCTTTGAATCACTGTATAAAATATTCCTCATAAACTCGCTCCAATCGTCGCACAGCAGAGTCTTTGGAAGGGTAAAACCAAGTTTAACATCGCCAGTTCAAAACACTTTCTGTGTCCTCTTTATAGGCAAGCCTGCCCAGCTGGAGAACATCTGTTAATTTTGTTTAGCGAAAGACATTTACCAAACCCAGTTGGAAGAACAGCAACTACATAGTTCCCATGTAATAAAAGCTGAATAATCTGATTTTGAGTACGTCGGTGTAGAATCTAACAAATACGGATTGAACCACAATACAACTGATTACAACCACACTAACCAAGTATATATTTTAGAATACAAAATGGCCGCTTGCCATTCTTTATATTTACATGGTGCTTCCACATGGTGCTTCCACAACATTCCATAATATAACATATGCTAAATATCCTACATCCCTTTCTTTTTCCAATGTTTTTAAGAGTTTTTTAAAAAGTTCACTATAATATACTAAATACTACTGTACCTATAATGTTTCTAAATTTTAGTTAATTAAACGTTCTAAATACAACCTGTTTGTCAAACGTTCGACTTTTGTAAACCAAATGTTTATTTCATAACATAATCTCCATATCTTTTTGGCGCACGTCTGGTACACACAGGTCTTGGGGATTTGACTGGCACACTTTCTGCTGTTTGGTTAGAGTCTCCATTTGGCACTCGCCCATCACGATCACCTTGCGATGATGTTTCCCCTGCAGATGATGTTTCTCCCTCCGCTTGCTGTAGAACACTTTCTTCTGGAGGTACTTCAGGTGCTGTCGCTGACATTTCGATTTCCTCTAAACCACTTTCTCTTTCCTGGAACGGTTTAACATGAGTTGTGTTTCTTTTATACTGAACACCTTCAGGTGACTCGACCAATACACTGTTCCCGTGCTTATCAATTACTTGATACGGTTGACTTTCAAACGTTGTTGTCCACTTGTTGATGCGCTGCTGTTTCAACAACACTTTGTCTCCTTCAGATAAATTGCTCTCCTTGGCATTCCTTCTTTTGTCAGCATAACCTTTCATTTTCTCCTTCTTCTCTCTGTCTTTGTCTCGCATTTCTTCATCCAATCTAACATTTTCTCTCAGCTCTGGAAGTTTAGTTCTCAGTTTTCTTCTGAACATCAATTCAGCAGGACACATCCCTGTCGTTGGATGAGGTGTATTTCGATAAGCAATCAAGTACGTTTGCACTGCTTTCCTCCAATCTTGTCCTTCCACTCTTGCTATTTGCATCCTTTTGAGTAGAGATCTGTTCTGGCGTTCGATCTCACCGTTTGCTTGGGGCCACAACGGCGTTGTCTTCCGGTGTTCAATTCCATTCTCTTGCAGGAATGATTCGAACGTCTCTGCAACGAAATGAGGACCATTATCACTTGCCACTGTCCACGGTAGTCCATGGGTTGCAAACATGTTTTCCAAACTTTTAATCGCAACTTCAGCTGTATTTCTTTTCGCAATAGTCACCTCTACGTATCGACTGTAGTAATCGGTTGCAGCAAATACATAATCTCCCAACGGCAATGGACCCATGAAGTCTATAGCGATATCTTCCCATGGTCCCTGGGGTAATTCTGTCATTCGCAATGGCTCTGGATTAATAGGTCTACTCACAACTTGACATCCATGACACGTTTTGCAGAACTTTTCCGCTTCTTGGTCAATTCCCGGCCACCAGACTTTCGTACGCAGTCGTTGTTTCATCATGAGAATCCCTTGATGGCCCTCGTGGCCTAATTCAATCACTCTTGGTCGAAGTTTCTGTGGTATGACCATCCGTGTACCTCTCAAGACAATCTTTCCAACACTACAAAGTTCATCACGAACTGACTTGTAACTGGCGCACTTGTAACTGGCGCACTTGGGACTGTCCCAATTTCCTGTCTCGATACATTGACGAATAGTCATTAATTCTTCATTACAAGAAGATGCTTCTTCAATTTCTCTGGAATTCATGGCTCTTGGAATTGCTGTCTTTGCAACAAAACTGACATAATCTTCAGCTATACTTCTGGACTTCATCTCTCCGATCTTTGTCAAACGTGACAACGAATCTGCAACATTTAAATGCCCCGGCAGGTATTTCACTGTAAACGAATACGGTTGCAGTCTCAAAACCCATCTCTCAATCCTCGCTGATAGTCTAGAACGAGCTGAATAGATACATTCTAAAGGTTTATGGTCAGTCCACAGTTCAAACTGTCTTCCGTACAAGTAGATGTGGAACCTTTCGCACGACCACACCACTGCTAACGCTTCCTTTTCAGTCTGCGAGTATCGTCTTTCGACCTCGGTAAGACCTCTGCTGGCATAACAAATGACTCGATCCTCTCCTTTGTGCTCTTGTAGTAAAATTGCCCCTAGCCAAACTGGACTTGCGTCACAAACAATCTTGGTCTTCGCGTCTCGATCGAAATAACTCAAGGTTTCCGCTTGGCATGCCTACGTTTCAGTTCTCTAAACGATTCTTGCTGCTCAGGACCAAAAACAAATGGTACTCCTCGCTTCGTCAATCGTCTCATTGGCTCTGCAACAGTTGCGAGATCTGGAATAAATCTTGCATTGAAATTCACCAAGCCCAAGAAACTCTTCCCATTCTGCGGCTCTCGAGCTTCCACGACCGCTCTAACCTTTTCTTCTGTAGGACCAATACCACGGTTTGACAGGAGTAAGCCCATGAAAGTAAGCTTCGGCATATCGAAAACGCATTTCTCTTTGTTTAGAGTTAAACCTCTTTCCTCGAGCCTTGTCAGCACTTTTTCTAGTCGCTTGTCATGTCCAGCTTGATCAGAACCATAAATGATAATGTCGTCCGAGATGTTGGCTGTCCCACTGCAATCCTGCAACACTTGTTGAATCACCTGCTGATACTTCTCTGGCGCTGAACTTATACCAAACATCAACCTTTGTATCTGAACAAACCCTTGTGCGTCACGAAAGTTGTGATGCTTCTGGATTCTTCACTTAATTCTATCTGGTGGTACCCCCACTTGAGATCTAGCTTGCTGAAAACACCTCCCTCTTGCATATCCTGGAGTATTTCATCAATAGTTGGAATCGGGTGTCTCTCCCTTATAATCGCTTTGTTGGCACACCGCATATCCACACATAACCGGACCTCATCATTCGCCTTTGGCACTACCACAACTGGATTCACCCACGGAGTCGGCCCATCAACTTTCTCGATAATGTCTTCACGAAGTAACTCGTCAAGTTTTCCCTCGATCTTTCCTCTCAAGCTGAATGCAGTCCGCCTAACAGACTGTGCAACTGGTCGAACCTGCGGATCAATATGCAGCTTCATTTGATACTCTTTCAATTTCCCAATACCTTGGAACAAAACTTTGTGTCTCGCAACACGATCAGTCACACTGTTCACAAACTGTTCTGGAATTTGTAACTTTAGGACTCCAAGCTCGGTTGCTGTCTTTCTTCCCAATAGCGGCTCCCCCTTTCCTTCGATAACTGTGAATTCTGTTGTCACGTGTCTATCAGCTACATTTACATCTTCTGTGAATGTTCCTATTACTGTAAGGGGAGTTGTTGATCCATAGGCATACAGTTTCTTTGTGGTTTTCCTTGAAGTGCATTTAATGTGTTTTTTTCTTTAAATCTTCCCACAGATATTTGTCAATGACATTCGTACTCGCTCCCGAATCAATGACCATCTCCAATGGAATACCTCCAACAGACACTGTCACTCTTCCTGTGTCCAATGTTTCTTTAAACGTAAAGGCATATTCATCTTCTTCATCGACAAAACTCACTCTTCGATTGCCATGATCTTTACTTTTGATTTTGCATACCACAGCAAAATGACCTTTCTGGTGGCATTTGGAACATTCCTTTCCCTTCGCATGGCATCTGGGATCTCTGGCAAAATGTCCTGGTTTTCCGCATCGAAAACATTCACCACCCTTCTTAACTTTTCCACTTTTCCACTTTTCTCACCTTTACTTTCACGTCTGTCTTGTCGACCAGGCCTTTCAGAAACTCGGTTCACTCCATCATTATGAACACTCATACTCTTTGCTTGTCTTTTCACAGCTTCAGACGTTCTTGCTATTTCTTGTAATTGTTTAAGGTTAAGCGTCTGACCCTTCTCCAGAAACTTCCTTCGCAGATCACTCGACCGACACCTGGAAATAATTTGATCCCTGATCTGAGACTCCAGTTGATCTCCATAATCACACTGCTGAGCTTTACGTCGCAAGCGTATAGCAAACTGATCAATCGTTTCGTTTTCATTTTGTGCCATTTCTCTGAACATGTGTCGCTCATACGGAACGTTGACTTGGGTGACAAAATGTCTGGTTAAAGCTTCTTCGACTTTCTCGTATTCTTTTGCGTTCCCCGTCTCAGGCAAAACATCGAAAATATCCTGGACATCCGATCCAGCACAATGAAGTAGAAGTGCTCGTCGCTGTACCTTATTGTCATCTTTTCCAGCCTCAATAATAAGTAATTTACCGTCAGCATATAACTGAAAACTGCGAAGCCATCGTTTCCATTCAGACCCAACACTGTTCGGATCACTGCTCACATCAAACGGTCGAAATCCTCCGATATCAAACTCTTTTGAACTCATTTTTGCTTAAAACTATAGTTCAACTCTTTAAGACATCCTCGTCGCCAATTGTAGAATCTAACAAATACGGATTGAACCACAATACAACTGATTACAACCACACTAACCAAGTATATATTTTAGAATACAAAATGGCCGCTTGCCATTCTTTATATTTACATGGTGCTTCCACATGGTGCTTCCACAACATTCCATAATATAATATATGCTAAATATCCTACACAAGAGACGCAATTATTGTATGTCGGCACGTCGTTGTACTTCCGTTCTCCCAATTTACTTCCGCTTCCTCATCTTTTGGTTGCATTTACTTCCGCTTCTTCATCTTTTAGTTGTATACCGATACATCTACATACCGATCGGTTTGTGACATTGATGTATTTGCACATTTGCACATAACATCAATGCATAGCATATAACATCAATTTATAGCGCATAAACTCGATTGATACATTTCTGATAATTATTTTGTCCGCTAAAAAACTTCATGCTATTGACCTACTTCGAAATAAACACCCTGATCAATGTCTAGTAATCTTGGGCGATTTTAATAATCTTGAAATACGCACTTTGACCTCCAGTAAAAATCTTAAACAAGTCGTTGACCAACCTACTAGAGAATCAGCAATTATACTCGATCTAATCCTTACAAACTTGTATAAACTATACGGTGTGGGCACACTCAGAGAGAGCGCGTCACAAACATATGTTTTTAACTTAATAAAACAAAATATAGTAAGTTCAAATTATTCAATACATTCAGGTACGTAATTTATAGCTACATTGAAAAAGAAACCAGTGGCAGTGTGCATCAAGTCTGAACATCCAAAGCAAACTTGCCCTATATTTCACGATTTCCTGTAGTATAACAATTTTTATTTCTTGATGGCAAAATTTCTTGAAAGCTCATTGTTTGAAAAAATGTTCCAATTATAAGTTTTGGAATCTTGAAATCTTGCTTATCTGCAGATTTGCGGTGCTCTCACCAATAATGCCCGCCATTTGCTTAATTTATTTCATAGCAGAAGCTCTAGTTCTAGTTTTGAGATCAGCCCTTACAGGTTATGAAAGATGTAATACAATACAATACAATACAAATTTATTTAGAACCTCCCCTTAGGGCTTTTCAGGTCTAATTACAAGTTTATAAGTTACAATTTACAAGTAATGAGTTTATAAATTACAATATTTAGTATAGATATAAAATTGAGTGTATAAATTCAGAATTTAAAAGTTATGTATTAGTTTTAAAAATTAGGCATTAAGGAGCCAGGTCTTTAATGACTGTTTAAAAGTGTTCAATGAAGTACTCTCTCTAACATTGTTCGGTAAACTATTCCACAATTTAATAGCTCTGTATCCAAATGAACGTTGGGCAAAGCTTGTTCTACATTTTGGGATATCAAGATTATGGCTATTACGAGTGCTACGATTGTGTACGTCAGAACGTCTCTTTACAAAATTCTTTAAATACAACGGTACACTACCGTTAATAATTTTATATACCATTTGAGCATCACGATAAGCTAACATGTCCTGGACTGATAACCATCCAAGGTCTTTAATTGTGGATGAAATATGGTCAAATTTCCTCTTGCCAGAAATTATTCTAGCAGCAAAATTTTGAACCAGTTGTAATTTCCTTATATTCTCTTTAAAGGTACCTGCCCAAACAGTCGAGCAATAATACAATTTACTAAACACAAGAGAATTGATTATAGATATCAGAGTTTTCTTATCGAATAAGTGTTGAACTCGGCTGATCTGACACAATGATCCCATAAGTTTAGATGTAAGATTCTGGGTATGATCGGTAAAAGAGAGACATTCGTCCATTATTATTCCAAGATCTTTTGCACAGCGAACTGGGGTTAATTCCTCACCAAGAAATTGTAATGGTGGTAGATTAATCTTGGACAGAGCTTGCTTGGTTCCAAACAAAAGAAATTTGGTTTTCCCTGGGTTTATTAACAAGGAATTTGAACAACACCAGGCAGCAACTCGTTTTAAATCTGCATTCAATTTGTTCATACTCTCGGCAATATCACAGATTGAGAATGATAAGAAGAGTTTTGAGTCGTCCACGAACGATTCGATCTTACAGTCCTTACACATGCTGCTAATTTCATTAACATACAAGTTAAATAGTAGTGGACCCAAGATTGATCCTTGCGGTACGCCGTGTGTAACACGCTGCATATCAGATAAATGCTGTCCCACTCTAACAGATTGAACGCGCTCGCTAAGATAACTTCGAAACCAGACAGTAGCTGACGCACTTGTTCCAAACTTTCGAAGTTTTTCCAACAGGATATCGTGACTTATACTGTCGAACGCCTTGCTTAGATCCAGTAATATCACAGCTGTAAGATTCTTTCCATCTATAGATTGATATATACACTCCGTTAAAAACAGCTGCAAAGTTTCAGTGGAATGGTTTTTACGGTTACCACTCTGGTGTTTATTTAACTTATTAGTTTCAATCAAATAATCAGTAAATTGTTCCAATGCAACACGTTCAGTGACCTTTGATAGTACGGGTAGCAATGAGATAGGTCGATTATTCACTGCAATTTCATGATCCCCCTCTTTATGTAGTGGTATAACCTCTGCTTTTTTCCACTGAAGGGGAAAAACCTCTTGACTAAAGCTGGCATTAACAAGGCCTGTTAGGGTTGATAAAATATGTGGGTAACAATCCTTAAGAACATTGATAGAAATTTTATCATAACCTGGTGCTTTATTGGATGGCATATTCTTTATCACTTGTTCAATTTTGGTGTAAGATACTTGGTTGAAAAAAAA